AAGGAACTAAATTTGGTACATTGTAGCCAAATTTCTTAAAATCAGAGTTTTTATTAATAAAAGAAAGTTTAAAAGGAAATAGAAGAGAAACATTTACATGAAAGAATAAAATATGAATGTTAATAATTTGTATCTCATCAGAAACAGAAGGTCAGAGGATATATTAGTCCTCTGTTACCAGAATGAAATATCTGAGGCAATTAATTTGTAAAGAGAAGTTTTATTTTGGCACATGATTCTAGAGGTTTCATTGCAAGATTGAATGACCTCATGATGTTAGCCTCTCACAAAGTTGTCAGTCACATCATGTCAGGAGCACATGTTAGAGCATCTCTTTGGCCAGGAAACAAAGACAAAACACAAAAAATAAAAAGAGAAGATGGGCCAGTGGGCTAGAATCATACAGTCCCTTTTCTGTGAGGCCCCATGTTGTAACTTCCAATAGTGCTACCCTGGAGACCAAAACTTTAACACATGGACCTTTGGGGGAATGTTCAACATCCACACTCTAATAGAGGGCAATGGAATTTTTTTTTTTTTTTGTACCATCAAACTCAGGACCTTACACTTGCCAGGCAGGTGTGGTGCCACTGAGCTACATCCCTGGCCCTAGAGTCATTTTTAAAAAGTGCCTTAAAATAGCAGATCTTCTATTTTGGAGCTCTGTATTGTAAAATAAATGAGAAAAAAGGATGTTTTCTGACAGATATAAGATGATTTGTCTATACCAGCTTTTTAAATAAATGCTAAAAGAAATTCTTCATGCTGAAGATAAATGATAAAGGAAACTTAGATCTAAAGGAGGGAATGAATTGTACCAGGAAGGGTAAATGTGTGGATAAATATAAGGGACCTCTTAAAAATCATCTTTTTGTATACATTTATTAAAAAATCATGAGCTGCTTAAAGCAGAAATAATAACAGTGTTGGGTACATAGTATAAGTAAAATATATGATAAGTGTACAACAGGTAGGAAGATGTTAAATTGTGATATGTTAAAGATGCACCAGAGCAAAGTTAAATACAAAGACATATTAAGTGTAATGCCAATAAGTGAAATACAATAAATATTGCTTTCCCAAAAAGTCAGGAGGACAGGACTGAGGAGCAAATAATAGTTGGGGCAAATTGAAAATAAATATGACAACCTTAAAACATACTACATCAAAAATTACATTAAATGTAAACCACATACTTTATTAAAAGATAACAGTTGTCAGGCTGAATAAACTAGTATGGCCCAAGTATACGCTGCCTTTAAGAAACAAGATATTTATAAAAACAGATTGAAAATAAAAGGGGTGGGGGAAAGCAGCTCAGTGGTAGAGTGCTTTCCTACCATGTGTGAAGCCCTGGGTTTGACCCTTAGTATTGTAATAAATACCATGCAGAAAGCAAAAGAAAGCTTATGTGGCTATATTAGTCAAAGTATAATTTAACTCAAGGGTCATTTCTAGAGTGAAAGAGCAGCTCATAATAATAAAAGGGTCAGTTGATTAAAAATATGTTAACAGTCTTGTGCATGTAAACAATGGGCTTTCGATACAGTATTTATATAAAGCAATAAATATTAATGTTATGAAAAATATGTTAACAGTCTTAAATATGCATTTACCTTGTAATAAAGCTTTAAAATACAGTGGACCCTCAAGTTACAACAAGCCTGATACACAAACAACTTGGATTAATTAGGTTAATGGAAAATTCACCTGGCTCTTTTTATCTGTGGCATATACCCAGGTAAACATCCAGATCTTACCTGTACTGGCTTATAACTAACTTGAGTTACAACCAGCTGTAGGGAACTGATAGAGTTCATAAGTCAAGGGTCCACTGTACATGAACCAGAAACTGAAAGCCAAAGTGATGAAACCACAATTAGAGTTGGATATAGTAGTAACTTTCTAATTGATAGAACCTATAGACATAAAAGGGCAGTAAGGTTATACAAAAACTTGAACATTGCTCTTTACCTAATTAGCTTTTATAGAGAAATTTCATAAACCAAAGTATGAAAAATTGCAGAAGTAAGTCCTTATCAGTAACCACTATAAATTTAAAAAAGATTAAGTTTGCCAATTAAAAAAGAGACTGGGAGAATGGATAAAAACAAAAGGTTTGCTTGATCCAGTTACATGCTGAGGCAGATTGAACGTAGCCAGAATGACTATCCAATAAAATGGACTTTAAGTTAAAAATTGCCATGAGACAAAGGTTGCAAGATGTTGTTAAAATGTCAGTTCCTCAAGGACTGTAACATATATATCAAATAGAGCCACGCATATGCAGCAAAGTGACAGAACTGAAGAAGAAATACTTCTGTTATAATTGAAGACTTTATGTGGTAGAGGGATGCTGCTCCAGGAATTAACCTAAGGAAGTGAAAGTCCTCTACAATGAAAACTACTGTATTCTGAAAAAAGGAAATTGAAGGGGACGTGAGAATATGGAAAGATATCTCCTGTTCCTAGATAGGTATAACCAATATAGTCAAAATGGCTATACTCCCAAAATTTTTATACAGGTTTAATGCAATCAAAATTGCATTATCCAATAGCATTCTTCATAGAACTGTAGAAAACAATCCTAAAATTCATATGTAACCAGAAGATACCTAGAGTAGCAAAAGCAGTCCTGAGTAAGAAGAGAAAAATGGGAGGAATCACAGCCCTGGACTTGATGTTATATTACAGAACTACTGTGATAAAAACAATATGATGCTGGCACAAAAACAGATGATGGAACAGAACAGAGGATGCTGAAACAACCCCAAGTACATTCAACTGTTTGTTCTTTGACACAAGGGGGCCAAAAACATGCACCAGAGGAAAGAGCCTCTTTAATAAATGTCTCTGGAAAAGCTGGCTGTGTACATGCAGAAGACTGAATCTAGACCCGTATCTCTCACTGTGCACTAAACTAAAATCAAAATGAGTCAAAGTGTTAAACCAGAAACATTTAACTAGCTGGAAGACAAATGGATAAAACTCTTGAAGTCATAAGTGTAGGAAAGAATTTTCTGAACAGAATCCCAGTTGCACAGGAAATAACTTTTTTTTTTTTGGTACCAGGGATTGAACTCCAGTCCTTGCGCTTGCAATGCAGGCCACCGAACCGCTGAGCTAAATCCCCGGCCCAGGAAATAACTCTTAACCAACACATGGGATCATATTAAAAGGCTTCTGACAGCAAAAGAAATAACTAACAGAATAAGAAGACATCCTACAGAGTGGGAAAATTTTTTTGCCAGTGATTCTTCACAGGACTCACACCTGGAGTATAGAGAGAACTCATAAAAATTAGACCCTCCAAAATAAAAGATCCAATAAAAACAGGCAATTGAAATGAACAGATCACAGAAGTACAAATGGCTGGTAAATATGTGAAGAAATACTAAAAATGACTGGCAGTTAGAGAAATGCAAATTAAAACACTGTTAGGGATTAGGCTCAGTGGTTCCACTGCTTGCCTTGCAAGTGCAAGGGCCCAATTTCAATCCTCTGTACAACAACACACACACTGATTCCATTTTATTCTAGAAAAAATGACTATCATGATAAACCAATAACAAAGGCTTGGGCCGGGGATTTAGTTCATTGGTTCTGCTGCCTGCCTCACAAGCACAAGGACCTGCGTTGGATCCCCGGTACCAAAAAAATCAAAACAAAACAAAAATACCAAAAGCTGAAAGACTGCAGGGAAAAAGGAACCCTTCTACATTGCTGTTGGGAATGTAGACTAGTACAACCACTTTGGAAATCAGTATGGAGATTCCTCAGAAAACTGAAACTAAAATGTCCATTTGACCTGTCTGTTCCCCTTCTAGGTATAATCCTGAAAGACAGTGTCTTAAAACAGATGTCGTTAAAAACATCTGTTGCAGTGATACATACAAATCTATGTTTATAGCAGCACAATTCATAACAGCTAAATCTTGGTGGCAGCTTATATTTCCATCAACAAATGAGTGGATAAAGAAAATGTATTTACAAAAAAAAAAAATATTTGCACACAACTGAGTACTGTTCTGCCATAAAGATAAATGTGAATCATTTGTAGGAAAATGGTGGTACCTCAAGACCATAATATTAAATGAAATAAATCAGACACACAAGCTTAAATATTACATGGTTCCTCTTATATGAGAAACTCAGTAAAAATAAAAAGCAGAATAAGTGATAGACAATAGGAAGTAGGGAAATAGTTCTCAAAGGGGAAGGGGATCAAGAGATGAAGGCTGGGGCAGGGAGGGAAAGGATAAGGGTTGAAAAAAAGGAATTGGTATTATATATACATGTACCAACTCCACACAAGGGTCATGAGTATACATTGCAGTCATATACGAAGAAAAGATCGAGAGATGGAGATGGGTGGAGGGGGGAAGGAGGGAAGGGAAAGGAGGGGAAGAAAGGGATTAAGATGTGTATATGCAGTAAACATGTATAACACACGTGTACTAATAAACTAAAATAAATTGAACACTTTTTAAATCAGAGCTATTTATTAAGCACTGATTATGTGTCAAGACTGTTTTAGATATTTATATAAACTTAATTTGATTCACAGCAACTCTTCGAGCAGGTTCTTTCAGTCTCCACTTTACAGAAGAGGAAACTATGGCATAGAAAACTTAAATGAGTGTGGGGATGTGGGAGTGTAGCTCAGTGGTAGAGTACTTACCTAGTATGTATGAGGTTCTCATGTCAATCCCAAGCACCTCAAAAAGGACACACCAAAAAAGTTACATGACGGGCACAAGGGTAACAGACATGTAAATGATGGAACCTAGACAATAGACTTACTAAATTAGCTTTGGCCCTTAGAGTTATAGTTCATCTTTCAGTAGCTGTTACGATGCGTGATGATGTCATAGTACCCTTTGCCATCACCTCCAACAGCAGTTAGAAACATCAATAACATAATTTCAGTAACAGTATTTAGACAGAAGAGCAATACTGAAATAAAGATTGAACAACACTATATAAACCAATTTGGTATAATGAAGGTATGTAAAACATCCCACAGCAGACTATACATACTTAAATGCACATGCAATGTTCTTCAAGATAGACCTTGTATTAGGCCACAAAATAAGTCTTAAAAAGTTTCAGACATTGGAAAAATCTAAAATCTCTTCTCTGACCACAATGGAATGAAGCTAGACATCAACAACAGAAAGCAAACAAAAATTATATGTGGGATTGAAACAGTATACTCAGTGGGTGAAAAGTAACAAAGGCTGTTAAAAATACTGTGAGCTGAATGCAATAACACACACACACACACACACTGATGGGATTCTATGAAAGCATTGCTCAGAAGGGAAACTTACAGTTGTAAATGCCTACATTAAAAAAAAGAAGGAAGATAATCAGATCAGTAATTTAGCACTTTAAGGTATTTTAAGAAAAAGATTGAGATTAATCCATCTAGGACATACAGGCTGGGGTTAAGTGGGCTGGGGATGTAGCTCAGTGCAAAGGCCCTGTATTCAGTGCTCAGTACTAAAACAAGGCTCCAATCCATTTTGAGTTAAAAAAAATTTTTTTTGAGGTAACGATACAATTGTTTGCATGTGGATACCCAGTTATTCTGGCACAATTTCTTCTATCTTCTTCCTCCTCTCCTCTTTTTCCTCTTCCCCCTTCCTCTTTCTGTGTGTGTGTGTGTGTGTGTGTGTGTGTGTGTTGCTGAGAATGGAACTCATGGAGTGCTGAGCTACATCTCCAGCCCTTTTTAATTTTTATTGTTTTGAGACGGTCTTGCTGAGTTGCCCAGGCTGGCCTTGAACTTGTGACTCTCCTGCTTCAGTCTCCAGAATAGCTGGAATCACAAGTGTGCACCACTGCCCACCATCCTGGTGCAATTGTTTTGGTATATTTATTGGTACATTTTAGATAATACCTAATGATAACATTCATCATAGGGAATTTGTACCTGTACATAATATATCATGCTTCTTTTTCCCCCTCACCCTTTTCGCCTCCTATTTACAAAAAAACTTTCTTTCCATTTTTTCCTTCTATTGTTTTTTCTTGTCCTGTCTTTCTTCCACCCCTCTTTGTTCCCCTTCTCATTTTAACATTTTCTTCTCATTTCCCAATATCTGATATACATTTGGGTCCTTATTTTACACTTTTGGTTTCTCACACCAGAGAAACAACAAGATATTTAAACATATGTCCGATTTATCTCACTGAAGAGTATAGTCTCAAGGTGTATCCATTTAGCTAGAAATGTCTCAAGCTTATCCTTTGTTATGGCAGAGTGGCACTCCATTGTATAAAAAAACTACATCTTCATCCATTCATTGGTTGATGGGCATTTGGGCTGTTTCCAAGATTTAGCTATTACACACTGTGCTGCTATAAACATGAGTGTGCATATATCACATATGTGTCATGATGCTTTTTAATTCTTTTGGGAACATACCAAGAAGAGGAATAGGTCAAATGAAACCTCTAGTTTTAGTTTTTTGATAAATTTCCATGGTGGTTGTAGCAGTCTACACTCCCTCCAACAGTGGAAAAGGGGTCCTTTTCCCCCACAGCCTCACTGGCATTTGTTACTGGTTGATTACTTGATGAGAGCTATTGTTCAGCATTGTTTGCATATCTCAAATGACAGTGATGTTAAACATTTTTTCATATATTTATTTACCGTTTCTACTTCATCTGAGAAGTGTGTGTTCAAGTGCCCATTTTTGGATTGTGTCTTTAAATTTAGGGGGGATTTTGACTTTCTTGAGTTCCTTATACAAGATAGTAGTCCTTTGTCTGAGGAGCAACTGACAAAATGTTTCTCCCACACTGTGGGTTGTCTCTTCACTCTGTTGGTGGTCTGGTACCATTTTTTGAAGATTTTTTCACCATTTAAATCTGTTGCCCACAAATGTAAGTTTCTGTACTCTTGTTTCTGTTCATTTACCCTGTTTATCCTTATGCCAATACCACAGTGTTTCATAGTTTTGTAGTAAAATTTTTTATTTGTTTGAGATGAGGGCTTGCTATGTAACCCTGATTAGTCTTGGACTCCTGGACTCAAGTTGTCCTCATGACTCAGCCACTCAGGTAGCTGAGACTATAGGCACATGCCATAGTATCACACCTTACAGTAAAATTTGAATTAGAGAGTTTGAGTCTTCTAATTTTCTTTTTCTTTTTCAGTGTCCCTTGCATTTCCACATGAATTTTAGGATCAACTTGTGGTTAAGTGTAAAAATTAGAGCAGCTGGGATTTTTGATAGAGATTATGTTAAATCTATGGATCAGTTTGGGGAAATGTTGCTAACATAATATTGTCAAGACTTCCAGTTCATGTATGTGACTGTTTCAATTTATTTGTTGTCTTTAATTTCTCTCAGCAATTTTTATATGACTTCCCAACATGGAAGTTTTGTACTTTCATCATATTTTTTCCTAAATACATTATTCATTTCAATGCCGTTATAAGTGGAATTATTTTCATAAATTCATTTTTATAATATTCATTACTGCTGTATGGAAATATTTCTTATTGTATGAATATATTGTATATTTGTATATTCTGAAACCTTGATGAACTTTTTGATTAGTTCTAATTGATTCCTCGTGGAGTTTTAGAATTGCCATTATACTGTATGCATTAAATGATCATGTCATCTGTGAATAGAGATTGTTTTATTCCTTTCTAACCTGGATGCCTTTCATTTCTTTGCCTTGTCTAATTGCCTTGGCTAGAACCTCCAGTGCAGGATAATACACAGAAGGCTGTATGTTGCCCTTTTTATGCAAGGATGATAAAGATATTTTCTGTCTCTCGATATTAGTGTGCTCTAGCTTCATGAAATTAGTATCATATCTGTAGTTATTGAAGTTATTGAAGCTGCTCTAATCTAGTATGAAATTTTCTGAATTGATTAAAGAACAGTTACAAGATTTCTCTTTTTTTTTTCCTTTCAGGTTTTCTCAAACAGTGATGAAGGCCTAATTAACAAAAAGTTGCCCAAAGAACTATTATTAAGGTGAGTGTAGATAAGTTTTAGAGTTCAGGTTTGATCAGTCATCAAGTTCTAAGACTATCTTCTTTCTCACTGTGAGTCCACAGCATAGAAAAAGAGAATTAGCCTAACCAACTTTTTGTTTTTGTTTTATAGAATGCTGTTCAGCTTGTTGTTAAATTTTACTTGGTCTAATCCAGAGTGTACTAAGTATGTACATAGCATTGGTCTGGATTCTTTTTGTAATGTGGTAAGTATTGTAATAATCTTCAGTAGGCGCCATTGTTTATGAGTAGATTAATAGACTAAATAACATGAGGAAAGAGTATCACTAAACTTACAAGCTTCTAAAGTCAGTTTTAGATGTTTTCTGATAAATGGGTTTAAAAATAAGTACAAACAATATAGTTATGATGTGTTCTTACTGAGCATTTAAAAATGCTTTCGGGGGACCGGAGATACAGCTCAGTGCCTCTGCGCCTGCCTAGCAAGTTCAAGGACCTAAGTTCGATCCCCAGTTCCACCAAAAAAATTCCAAAAAACAAAAAGCAACTTTTGGCCCCAAATATTGATGTTGATATGTTTTTATCCATTTTATTTTATTTTATTTGAATTTTTGAGACAGAATCATGCTATGTAGCTCAGGCTGGCCTTGAACTCATTGTGTAGTCTAGGGTGTCTTTGAACTTGTGGCAATCCTCCTGCCTCAGCCTCCCAAGTGCTGTTATTACAGGCATATGCTACCACACCTGGCTTTTATCCATTTTATAAGTATGTGCTAAATGACAGCAAGTGCTTTCAAATAGGCTTTTTATCTTTTTTTCCCCTGACATTACTAAATATGTAGATTTTTACCAAGTAAAGCTGTTGGCCAACGTTTGTTGACCCTGAAGCACTACAGCTTTCTTTGGTATTCTGCAGCGATCAAGATTTAGGTTTAGATGTTATATTTTAATTCTTCACAAATAATTTATGTATACATGGTAATCTTTCAGTGACGTTTTCCAAGCTGTTTCTCCTATCAGTAATATTCCACAAACAAACAAAAACAGGTTCTGTGATAAACTAAGTATAGGAAACTAATTTCAAAAGTGCAAGACTACAGGGCTGGGGATTTAGCTCAATGGTGCTGGGCCTGCCTCAAAAGCACAAGGTCCTGAATTTGATACCTGGTATGAAAAAAACCAAAAAAAACAACTGCAAGACTACAAAACTAATTTCTTTTACTATAGGACCACTTAGAACGTTAAATTAGTTGATGTGCATGACGATGTACCAGGTTGGGTACTTGTAGCATTTCAAACTTCCCGACAATGGGATCCTTTCAATATTTCATGGAAAAATTTTAGGAAATACAAAAAGAAAAGGACCAGATGACTCCACACTCTGGCTGCACTAACTCTCATTTTAACATTTTGGGAATGAGAGTATGTTTGGTTTAATAATTGAAAGTAATTTTTTTATCTCTTCCTGAGCTCACCACAGAATCACTTTGTAAATGACATCTTTGCTGTCATTGGTAGTTAGAGTTTTTTTTTGTTTTGAGTCAGAAACATCGTGAGGATTTAGCTTCTCTGTGGTGATGATCACATTTTAGTGGCTTCAAAGTGTGTTTCATTAGTCATCAGATGTTTTTTGGCATAGTTAGGAATTTTTTCTGCTCAGTTAATAAAGAAAATTAACTGTAGGACTGTATGAAAAAATAGATCATATTTTATCCCAATAAAACAAATATTTGAACAAGAATATTCTTTAGACTTTTAGACCATTTTGAACTAAGCTGGGCATGGTGGCACATGTCTATAATCTCAGCACTTGGGAGGCTGAAGCAGGAGGATTGTGAGTTCAAGGCATGGGCTACATAATGAGTTAGAGGTGAGAGGGATGGTTGGTGTGCCAGTATCATAATGAGTTTGAGGGGAGCCTGAGCTACATAAAGACTTTGTCCAACAAAGAAAAAGAGGGAGGGGAAATGGTAACAAAGAAGGAATGTATGTTTCTCATATCCCATAAGGACTTGCTCAGACATATAAGCTATGTTATATTTGTCAGAGCCAATTTGGCTGAGTCTGAATTGGCAAGTTGTCACCGTACAATTTGAGGGAATACCATCCACACTGACTGCTCTATGGATGGTGTTCCCTAGAATCATGTATTGCTTCCAGCTTCAGTGTGAATGCACCAGCATCATGATGAAGTATGAATAAGGCGTTCTTAATCCCGAGAACCATTACCACCTTCAGGCAGACAATGTATTAGTCATTTAACACTAGTTTATGGTTAAACTCCACCCTTCTCATGAATATACTATTTGTAACTCAAGGCTACTAATTGAATATTTTTCACTTCTGGTAGGATTAGCTTATAACTTAACCATAGAACAGTTTCCATCTGTTATTACAAAAATAAAAAATAAATACAAGGAATTATCACTTTCTGAGGTAGTGTGAATTCTGCTCTTCAGTCTTAGAAATTTCAGTTCCTTTAAAGATCCGTGCTGGGCCCAGTTGTGAAGAAACCTAAAGGTTGTCATCACTAGTTACAGCTTTGGATTCATGCCATACAGCTCATGTACAGATTATTTTTCAGAGGGAATTGCTGTTTGAGAGCATTTGTTTATAACCTGTTTTTTCATCTGTTTGCATTTCCACTTTGGCTCTTATTTTGGAGTTTGTAAGGGCAATTTAAATTTGAAGCACTGCCACTATAAGCCTTTTCTGACTCTTGAGTCTCAACATTAACTCTAGCCAACCATGATAGTTTAAATTTTAATTTTTTGCTGGCTCTAAAATAATTTCTGAAAAAAACCATTTCTGCATTGTCAGACATTCTAGTCTCAAGAGAAGCTCTTTCCTTTCCCTGCTACCAAGGTACCTATCTCTCTCTCTTTTTTGTTCCTAATTTTATTTATTTATTTGTTTATTTTTCCAGTACTGGAACTCAAACTCAGGACTTTGCTTGCCAGGCAGGCATGGCACCACTGAGCTAGATCGCTGACCCTAAGCAGCCATTTTCATCATAGATTAATTCCACAAATGTGAGTTCATCCAAGTCACCGTCTAGTGGGCCTTAAGTCTTGATTATTTTCTGTTCAGTTAAACAGTGCCGTCATATTTTGCTCTGCCATAAGGAGAGCAAAAGACTTTGTCTTGTAGACTTCTTTGTAACAGTGAAGAATATTGTCTTGAATCTTGGCTTCCTTCAGTCTTACTTCATCAATAGATATGCATCCTTTGACTTTTTGACAATCTTTGCTCACAGTTCAGGTCATTTTCTCCTCTGCCATTTTTTGCTGCATGTATTATCATGCTCTTACCTTCTTAACTAGCTTCCAATATGAAGTGAAGCCTCAGCTTCTTCTTTGAATCCATCAACAAACATAACCTGGAGTAATGTGTTGCTGTTAATCTCTTAGTATCACCATGACTCTACTAGAAAAACTAGTATTTTCATGTAATCATTTTATTGCTAATTTTAAGAATACTTACTATTGCTAGTTCACATATTCTTTCTGCTACCCATTTTGAGTGTGTTACTGGAATTAGTTGTTACACTTTCATTCTTTCTGCCCAGCTTTCACTCATAAATTAAAGATACTTAAATTATCTGAAACCTTTATTCTAACACAGCTCAAACAGCTTATATTTTGTTCTTCCTGGAGTGTTAATGATATAATGCTTTTATCTTTGGGAATGTTGATTTTTATAATCTATATCTATTATTGAGTTGGATTGTCCTTTTATATATTTGTCCACATCATTATTATTCATATATTATTTTTGGAGCCAGACTTTCTAGGTTAAAATTTCAGTCTTTCTCATTTATTAATGTGTGGCCTTAATTAAGGTATTTCATTTTCTCATCTGTAAAATTGGAATAGTCATGGGCCGGGGATTTAGCTCAGTGGTGTGACAGCCTTGCAAGCACAGGGTCCTGAGTTCAATCCCTGGTACCAGAAAAATCCAAAAACATTGGAATAGTCATAGTTCTTATGGGTTTGTTGCCAGTTCTTAGAATGACTGACATTTAATAAATAACTATATAT